TAATTTTTGGTATAGTAGTTGTGACTTATTCACACTATATACATTTGGCTTCCGCAACAGTCCCTTCGTCTCTATATTTTCATTGATGTGGTGCTTATGCTTTCATGAGCCGAGGGTCTATTGGAAACAGACCCCACAACGTGGGATAATACTGAATATGTTGTTGTTGTTGTTGTTTTCTCTTTATAGTAATTTTAATTTGGTAACCTAAAATGCAGTAAAAACTTGCTATAATTGGTTAAATACGTTGATATTGTAAAAATCTTTATACTGACAGTGTACGCGAGTTAAATCTATGACACAAATATAATTCCCAAGTCGCACCTACTTGGAGAGTAGTTCCTGATGGTAAAATCAGTGGCATGATAGTTTCCTCAGTTGCAGCCACTTCTAGCTCTGCCTTCTTTGCAATGTTCAAGAACACTTCTTCTAGCGTTGTAAGACCTATTTGGATATTTAATATGCCAAACTCCAGTTTTCTATTTTCTAGCTCTGCAAAGAAATTCTGATACAAATGTGCAAATAAAACATAGTAGTGAGTGATCAAAATACATGTTATGCTTGTCTTCAGGAACCTCGTGATAGGTACTTACTTCGAGTAGCTTCTCCTTCTCGTGAGGAATAACAAAAGTCAAGAAGGATTTATCTTCCTCTTTTGGTGTGACATCTAAATGCTGTAAAACAACTTACTAAGTAAAGAATATTTGTTTATTCATTGACAACAATCTTTAAAAGCTCTACTAGAAAGTACCTGTTTGAAGAATTCTTTGATAGCCTCATGATGCTTTCTGTCTAGTGTATTTGTCATGGCATTCACATTGTCAGCAGTTTTACTGAAGCTAACTTTAGCGATAAAGCCAACTCCAAATCGAGACTTCAGCAAGGTTGATGTTCCAATGCAACGAAGTCTACCCTTTGCCATTATTCCAATACGATCTGATAAAATATCAGCTTCCTCCATAGAATGTGTTGTCAGAACAATAGAACGTCCTTGCTTTGCAGCCTCAATTACACTCCATATATGCCTCCGAGTTACAGGATCCATACCAGTTGTCTACAAATTCCATGAATTTACTTCAGAATTGAACAAGCAATATATTGATTATGCTAGACTGTAGATTCTAAATATAGCATACTGGTTCATCTAAAAATAGAAGTTTTGGATCTCCAATCAATGCTATAGCTAAACTGAGGCGACGTTTCATTCCACCACTGTAGCCACCTGCTCTCGCTTTGGCAACATCATCAAGTTTCACATCAGCCAACAATTTTTCAGTTTCCTGACATTCAAGCAAATGGAGAAGTTTTTAGTGAGAATCATATGCAATAACCACTTCTTGAAGAGTCGATGGATAATTGTGGCAATCTATTTAGGATGAAATATGACATGCATATAATCCAGTGAAGTACAAGTATTTAGATAGAGATAAATCACATTCTTTTATCCCGACAAGGAGTAAGGATGGCGTCAGACACTTACTGATTTTTTTGAAGTCGGGGATAAGCCTTTGATGGTGGCGAAGAGTTCAAGGTGCTCTTGTCCGGATAATGCATCCCAAAGTGTGTCGAACTGCGATATGGCCATGCAAAGTTAATGAAAGAAAAACCAATCCAAGAAGAAGCACAGACTTGAATTGAAAGGTAAAGATCAATGGAATAGCTACCTGTGAGCAGACTCCAATCAGCTTTCTTATGTTGGAGATACCAACCGAACTTCGAACAGAGTTTCCATAGATCAGTGCTGTCAGAAAACAACAAATATGAGTTACATGATCATTCATTCTCAATCAAAGGAGAAAACAATTTAACTTGAAACTTTTCAAAAGGATTGCTATTACCATTTCCATGAGTGACTGGAGTTATACCAGTCAAGCAACTAATTACAGTTGTTTTGCCAGCTCCATTTGGTCCCAAGAGACAGAACAATTGATCCTTCTCAAGATTTAACCAAAGACCCTGAACAAAAAGGATCATTCTTAATATTTAACTATACATCCTGAATGAAAGGGCACCTTCTCTGCATTGCAACACATCTTCTGTTATGCTACAATGAGAAAAGGAAAATTTTCAAAAGGTTTTCTATGCTGTATTAATAATGTAGCCTTGGGAAGCAGACTGCAGAAATATTGGAGGGCAAAATGTTTGATGAGAACCATATAATAGATGATGCCTTCACTTATTTCAAGTGCAGATTCTAAATGATAAAATTTGGCGGGCATGCATCTTATATCATGTAAGGGTCAAGCAATCGATGCAACAAAAACCAACTATGGTTTCTATTAAGTCAACTGTGGAAGTCCAATATCTGATGATTTATTACTGAAATAAAGAAAATCTAATTTTCTCATTAACTTTATCCAAATACTACTTCCTAACCAAGTTTCATGATAAATTCACCTGGACAGCCTTCTAAGGTTTCTTAATCTTGCATCTACAGTAGCAACAGAGAAGGCAGCAAGAATGGCAGCTTGAGCTTATTGTCCTAGAATACATCTTATTAAGATCTTGTAGCTGCACAGCAACATTAGGATCAACGTTGCCTTCCTCCGCTTGTTGTTTCACTCTATTTTCCTCATCAAGAACATCTTCATCATCTTGAGTAAAACTGTCATGTGGCGGCGCAGAACCAGAACCGCAACATGGGGCATTTTCTGAATTTTAAAAAAAGATTAAGCTTGGTTACTGAAGGATGGCAATAGACTCTTCTGAGGAAATGAGATTTAAGTCAAAAACTCAGTAGTACCTTTATACTTTTCTTCACCTCTTCCTCTCCAATATCCAGGTTTCAAAAAGTAATATAAGGGTTTACTTACACCTGCTGAGTTGGGTATGATATTGTCAAGGTAGATAGCCAAAATAAGCCACAGGAAGAACGTCGCAATGAGCCATCGATAGTAACGGAGCTGGCAATTCAAAATAGTTCAGGAAATGGTCAAAAAACTTCATTTTAGAAAGAAGATATAGGATAATAAGTTTTAACATGAATAAGCAAGAGATAAAGCACAGCAACTAGGTTTTAGGGTCTCTTATCATCTCATATACATGGAGAATTAGATTTCAGAAGAGATCAAAAATTGCAAGACATAAGATTTTTTTGCTATAAATCAAAAAAGAGAAATTAAAAATAAAACTCTTCATACAATTGAATAGCAATATGAGCCATCAATGTCACACTCGGAAAGCCTACTCCAGCTGATCCCGCCATTGTCTGCTGCAAATAATAACAGATTCAGACCTCCTGAAAAGGGATTAGGCGGAAAGAAGGACCAAATTGTTCTTCTATAGCTTGTTTTATGGCTTGTATCACTATAGAGCACCCCTGAAAATGTCTGTAAGAGAACAAAACAAACCCGTTACAAAGAGATATTTAGGAGTTACTGCAAGTTTAGATCAGGAATTGACTTGCCTGAGTTCCACAACCAATTACAAATATGGCAAAGCTGGCAGATGTAGTCGAAGCAGATTTGCGGATGAAGTTTGATATTAAGAAGGCAAAACCAACCTAGTACATCAAGATGCAAAAAGCTTTAGGTCCTGAAATACTGCGACGGTGGTTAAGTTAGTCATATATGATTGCTCTAATAGTCCAAAGTAAGAAACTCACCATGTTGAGTTGGAAAAGAAAAAACAAAAGTAGAACAATCAAAAAGCTGTTTTTCAAGAAAAGGTGAAGCTGAAACATCATTCCAAAAAGAACAATGAGGAGTGATGAAAGGAATGTCATAATTCCCTCCCATATAAGCCACGAGCACCAATACGCAGAGTCAAAAAGTCCCATCACAGTCATTGCCTGTAAATCATATTGGAAATCAGACAAAAAGTTGGGTATAAAATCCATGATTCTTAAAATAAATGAATATGTTACCTGGCGAAGTTTGAGCTCCTTCTCAAGAACCATTGAGCTGATCTGAAATACAAAACCAAACATAGAGATTGCATAGAAGAAGATTGGACTGAAAATAGCAACAAAAGCAAACTTTTGAAATGAATCTCCAGCTTCACGGTCTTCTATTGCAGGATGGGCAAATTCCTTGAGACCAACATTCCAGCTGAACTTTGAATCTGCGAAAGCAGGATACAATCTTAAGTTTTAACGATACAAATGTTTTATTTTGATGATAATTCTTTTGGAATTTATTAATTATCATGGTAAAGGAGAACTACTAACTTATACTACCTCCAAGCAAGGACCTTGCAATCTCTCGAGATGCAGCTAGCTGAAGGGGAAGTTGGAACTTGAAAGTTGGATCTTCAGGTACCCTTGGAACTTGAATGTATGTAGATGTATTTGTTACTACGCCATATCTTATAACTGTGGCATTTCGTTCCACGAAATGCAAAGCTCCAGGGGTACGCATTGGATCACTGAGAAACCAATTGTTCAGGTCATCTTTTGTGCTAAATGACTTGACCTGAAAAATTAAAACTTTAGTTGCTGCAGTATACACAACTTGAAGAGCAAACAGGTGGCAACTTGTATCTCATTCTTAAACTGATAAAGCAAAAGAACAATTCTTTGTCTACATTCATTCCAGAGAAAATACGTACGTTATCTTGATAAAATGTAAGTCCTGCCACAATATCTTTTTCGATAGCAAACATAATGAGTTTTATTGATAAAAATGTTGGGATATATACTATTAACCATGAGTTTGGTTTAGATATAGTATTTATTATGAAA